AAGAAAAATCTTGCTAGCAGCAAGGAGAGACAGGCACCGGACCAGGCTAATCGCCCGCGGAGGTTGCAGGGTCTTCATGAACAGCGCTTCGAAGGAAGGAGAAGAGAAACGTTTCTCAGGAGTGACATAAGTGGCATTTACTGGGCTCGGGCTAGGACAAAGTCATCTTCAGGAGCCTCTTCCAGCCCCACGTTTGCTGCGATCCCCTGGGGTCCTTCCCCCTCCCTCGGACTCGGGCATACGATCACGCCGCCAATAACGAATAGGAGAACTTATGAGCCGTCCAGGAAATTATTCTATGTGCTGATGAAATCTGATGACCCTCAACGCTGGCAAAGACCGTGGGGCGAGAGAGCGTCTTGGTGGCTGGGCGCTTCGTTGACACTTGGTCTTCTAAGAACGTCCGGATTGCAAAAGGCAATCAGGACATTAAAATATCTGCGAAGGAAACGCGGTAGCTACCGCCGCGAACACGTTAGCGGCTGCGTTGTGTTTATTTTGCAGTTAGAGGCTTGTGCTTAGTGACAGGTTGCCAGCGTCCATCTGGAGCTTGTTTTTTTGTTTCCGTCCCTGCTGCACGTTTGCGCGACAGGACGTGGGCACGTTCAGAAGGGAACAAACCCGCTCGTTTTTCACCTACGGTCTACCCGCAGGGAAGGCTTGGCGCATCCCAGGCCTGGCACCGTTTTTCCCCCAAAGGCACCTCGGTGAGACCCGGAGAGCGTTCCCGTCCCCTCTGCCTCCAGGTACGCCGGCGTCGGGCAGGAACAGGCTCCGCGCGAAGCACCTCCTGGCCGGGAGCAGACACTGCTCTGAGCCCTGCTGCCCCAATGAAGAGTTGAGATTCTTTGTTCCTAACATTTAGCCTATAAAACACTTTTTTTGCCCCCCCTCCCTTCATAATATTAGTCCAGTAGCCTCCTCGTTTCCTCAGAGGCGGAGCGGAGGATAGCTTTGACAGCGGTGTTCAACAGCTGGGCCCACGCGCTGCCAGCGAATTTCAGTGCTAAACCCCATGATCGCTCCCCAGCTCCCTCAACCAGAGCGTTACGCCGCTCGTGCACGTTGAATTAGTGCTTTAGCGGGCGGATAGCTAGAAGTTGCCCTCAACGAGCTAAGCAGGTATTCATAGATCTGCCAAAACCGCACGGTTACCCCTGTAGTCTCCAGTACCTGACTAGGTGGCCTGGAGCTGGGCGTGCGCCAAGTACTGGGATGCAACCACATGATGGAGGTGACCAGGCTCACTTTGAGTAGAGATCTTCAGACTGTCACAGCCCTTTCAGTAAGCTCAGAAGTACACAACCTGTGCGCACACACTCAACCGATTAGCACGTTTCGGTAGCAAAAGATCCTCAACGGACTCTTTTGCCAGTAGCTGAAAGAAGAAGAAAGGGTGACGATTTTTTGGTCCACCTTTTTAAAAGGGGAAGGAAGGGAAGTGACGCGTGTTGTGCAATGTCAACTAAAAATAAATAAGTATTCTGGCCGGTATCAAAAGCAAGCAAAAGGTGAAGCGATGCCTACATGCCCGTTGGGGCACCAAGAGGGAGCAGGGCAGGAGCTGGGAAAGCTGCAGCATCTCTCGGAGAGGCCTGGCCACATTAGCACGGTGCTCTGCAGAGACCAACGTCCCTGTCCAAAGCGATTTTGCCCACAAGGAATTTGACGGCATGGTTAGTGGCATCGCAGCGGGTCGGCAGCCTGCTCGGGGAGGCACCCAGCGGATGTTCGGGGTGTCACAGGGGCCCACGGTCTCGCAGCCGGGTGGGCAGATGCAGGAGAGCAGGAGGTCAGCTCGTGGTCCGAGAGGAACGGGGTCCTCTGGGGTCATATCACGCTCCTGGCACAGTACGGAGACTTTATAATTACTTTTTTGTTGTTTTTCTTCCCCTCCCGCTGTGGGCGCCAGCAGCCTCGCCACCACCCGAGCCACGCGCTGCAATCAGATGGCAACGTAGGAGAGCCAGAAGTTGTGCCAAGACTCCCGCTGGGATAAATCACCCACGCGGAGCCGCCTTCCCTTTGCGCCGACGGCGATGGAAAGCCGGCTGCTCCGGAGGCAGCGCCCGGCCACCCATCCCGCAAGAGGCAGAAAAAGACGACTCGAGCAGGGCCGGTCAGCTGTTTTGCCTGCTGCGAGCCTCGCCGGCGCGGCGTCGCCTTCTGCAACGCGCGCCCGGCTGCTTCCCGGCGAGAAGGGGCCCCGTCTCGAGGCAACCAAAAGCTTCCCCCTTCTGAGCCTCCCCTCGCAAGGGGCGTTTGGAGGCGATGGCATGCAGGCCGCATGGTCCCGAGTGCCTAGCTCGGGCCATCAGTGTCATGAGTGCATCACACTCTGCAATCTGTGATCGTTGCCCTAGGGCAGTTGGGATCGAAGCCAAAGCCGTGGAGCGATGATGCTGCGGTACAGAACGGCTGCCAGGAGAAAAGAGGAAAAAAAAAGGAAGGAGCGATCTCTCTCCCTGATTACACCAGGGACAGGCACCTCTGAGACTCTTCCCCTACCAAATTTGAGTTTTCGCACCAGCTCAGCTAAGGGAAAACAAAAGAAAAACCCTCAACAGCAGTGAGCGTCTAGCCAAAACCTTGACAAAGCCTTTTGGGCAAGGGCACCTCGGAGGAGATGAGAAGGTCTCCAGCTGCAGCCCACACTCCTCCAAAACCCGCCACCGGGAAGAAGAGCCAGAGAACCAGCAAACACATCTGACAGGTCCTGCTGGGCTTGACACGTTAGAGGAGATCTGCCCCCCATGGGGCAATTTCAGCTGCTACCGGGACAGGGCTGATTCCCCCCCTCTCGATGGGTGCTATTTGCCCAGCAAGCCCATCGCCAGGAGGAGGCCACCGCTTGCTCTGCCTGGTGAAAACCACGTCCCCTTCAGACCCGAACACCTTCAAGACAGAGACTTTTTGTGTCTGCACAGCATCTAGGAGAACAAGGTGGAGGAATATAATCTCAGATAAGCTATTTTCCCTAATAATAGTAGCATCTAGCTGTGACCCACCCCACGGTCAGTCACGAGCTCTGGCAGCCTGGCCAGAAATACCCTTTATCTGTTGACATCCTGATACCTCTCACCTTTACCACAGCAAGCTGCTTCCTTTCATCTCCGCACAGGGGGAGACTCCAAACGTTTCAGAGGTTCCCAGTAAACTCCCCAGAAGGGTAACTGGCTGCATGGGAGATCTGAGAAGTTTCATGACTCTTAGCACCAGCAAGGCTCTGCTACCTGGGCTTAACTGGACCAAAACACCACTCCACCACGCGTGGAGGCAAGCATCCTGCCACAGGAAACCAGGCAGCGGGGACAAGCTGCTGGTTTGTAAGTGAGCAGGGCAAGGGTTAAAAAAAAGGGGAGGGGGAAGGAGGAAATAAAATAAAAGAAAAAAAAAACCAAAATAAAACACAAGACAGGAAGCCATGGAAAGGTTATGCAGGTGCTGTGCTTTACCCGCAGCCCAAACGCAGATGAGCGCATTGAGCTACCACCCAGCACCAGGCTCACACAGATATCTCAGGTATAAGCAAGAAGGACAGACCTCCAAATCTCCAAAAGAGAGGTGCAACATGACTCACCCACCATCTCCGTAGCTATGCAGGGGCAAAAGCCCAAACCTTTCCTTCCTTCATCCCCAACCCTGCTACCTAGCAGGCTTTTAAACCCCAAAAGCCTTCTCCCTTAACCAGCAGCAGACTTTGGGTTGCAATTGATGGTAATTGGAAGCTGCTAAGGTGATTGCCTTCAGATGCAGCCAAACCTTAAGTCACTCGATATCCAGACTTTTTGTCAATACCCCAAAATGACTTCATACTTTTTGAGAGAGGCAAATTTGTAGCTCTCAGGGTTATGGGAAAAACCTGATTCAGCTACACTTAACAGGCTCAAAAGCCCAGAAAGGAAACAAAAACCAGATGAATCCAAAATCCTTTTTGGGGGTGTTTTTGTTTAAAGCCTCTCACATAATTCCCACAGTTGCTTGACTCATGATATTTGAATGACGGGAAGAGCTGAATACTCCACGGTTGGGACTCCAGACAAGGGCAAAAAGGTTATCGTGCCCTTGGCCCGTTGGCGCTGCCCCAGCCCCGCTCTCCCTCTCTTTGCCCCAAACTCCCTCTAGCGATGTCTGCGGTTATCGCTGCCTGAGCACGAGCAGCGCTCATCACAGCTACACCTCTTGCTATCCGTGCTCTGGGCTCGTTAGAGGACTTTCTTTGGCCGTGAGGGCTTGCACCCCTTTTTGCGTCATACGAACAAGGAAGGAGGTATAAAGGTGTTGGGCGTTCTGGTAATTGCCTTTTTTCATGTTGCCTGTGTTTTGTTCTTGCTAGCTCTGGGGACTGCGGTGTGCGTCTGGGGACACCGCACCGCTTCCCACACGTCCCGCTTTCTGGAGTGAAAAACCTCACTTTTCGTGGGTAAAAGCTGAGGGTCTCAAGGGAGGTAAGGAGAAAGTGAACGTTGAGCACGTTCAGCTGGAAAGAGGGCTTGAGAAAACAAGTCCTAAAAGCAGAAACACTGGTAAGACAAGAGAAGGTGAGCACGATGGACCGTAATGTCTTTTTTTGTTTTTTAATTTCCTGCTGCTTGGCGCATTTGACTTATACTTTGGCTCTGGATTTGCTGAACGTCTGGGCTTGGTTTGTAGTTCGGGGTAAGATATGGGACAACTTGCACTACTTGCTTCCCACCTGCACCTAAGGTTTCACATTGGCTCTGGCCCGACCCGCTCATCACAGAACAGCTCTGCAGGTTTCACCAGCAGCATGTTTTCTTTGGTACAAGTGGGCCAGACTCAGTACTCGAGTGCTGATTTAGGACATACTGCTCTTGTTCATATACTTCCCCTCTTATTTTTGATATGAGGAAAACAAAGTGCCTTGAGATTTTGGCAGCAGCAGTCGGGAGGCTGAAGAGCTCCAGCTCACGGCCTCATTCCAACAAGGGAAACCTCGAATGGATTCTTAAAGGCCTTTTTTTGCCTAAGGATGGTAGACTGAACCCTGAGTTTTAAGAGTTTCAAGTGTTATTAACCTTTATGTGCAGAGGGTATGAGCCGACAGGGAGACTTGCTGCAGGCATCAAGTTTCCCTTGCTGAGCGCACACAGGGCTTTCCCTGCTTGTTTTGTGGTGCCAGTACAGATGGACTTTTAAAAGGCTTTCAGCATCATCACAAAATCCACATATTCAAATTTAAGGAGCCGTTTATCAGAAAAAGTAGATTTTCAACACCTCAGCAGCACGCTTGCAAAATCTGCTGCCTTATTTGGGAGAAGCCTGTGAAAAGACGCATCTTGCACTAACAGGCCTCAGCACTATTGGAGATAAAGCATCCCAAATTGTACTTTGGCGCTGCTTGAACGGCCACGGTGGGACCCAGAGAGCCCAGGGAAGCCAGCGCTCCCAGGCCACTTCACAAGGAGTTGGGGCGCATCTGAACAGACGTGGGTAATGTGACCATTTCACTTCCCCAAGGCACTGATTTAGGGAACAGCGAGACTCATCCCCCTGCAAAGTGTAGGATGGCCCGACCTCCACAAGGTCAGCGTGGAGCCCAAAAGGAGGCACGTTCCTCCCTGGAAAAACCTGCTCATGAGAGAAATCATGTACCCAGCTCACCTGCTGCAGTAGGTTTCATTCCCCCCGCCCATGGAAAGAGGGGGGCACAACTAAATCATGGCAATCCTCTCATCTATTGAATACAGTTTTACAGCAATGGCATTCACATCTCAACTGTACTTGACTTACTAGAATATCCAGCAGTGCTGTTACTGCCACAGTTGACTATTATTTGAAACTCTAGGCAAGCTGAAGAGATATGAATCAGCCTCCTGGTTAACACTGATACGATAGCTTGCAGGTGTGTGGGGAGGGGGGGAATCCCTTCCCTCCTTTTGCCCATCCTGTTCCACTTGCCTGGATACTCTCCCCTCTCGTTTCATGCCCAGCCCATTTTTCTTCAATTCATACTTCAAAGGCTGCTCTTTCCGTGCCTGCTTCCACCATAGCACATACACGAACTTTGAAGTGCCTGAGCCTCATTTTTATCGTTAGCAGGGTGGTTATAGACAGAGCCGGAGGAAAGGGAATTGCTGAGTCGGCAGTTCTGCAGCAGGAGCAGCTGCCTGCTCCCCTTCTCCCAAAGCACCTTGCTCAAAACCCACGGGAACCTGCCGGTTTCCCCTGAGGCCAGTTCCCCACTGCTTTACACACACACACACAGCGCGAGAATAAAAAGGTGCAAGTCTAGCTTGGCCGTGCCGTGCTGCCGCCCGCTCTAGTCCAAGCGGCTGCAGAAGGCGTAGGGCAGCAGAGCCGAGTTTGGGCTCCTACGTTACAGGAAGTTTGAATCAAGAAAGCTCTTAAAAAGGGAACCCTGGCTGAGGCCCTGAGCAAAACCCCATCGAAACAGGCATTAAGACTCATTACCGAGCTCAGATATCACTCCTGCAGCAATGCTGAACAATGACATTTTTGATGGAGCAAATCCATGTCATACAGAGTAATTTTGCAAATACCTCCTCTTTCGCCTATGGAAGTAGCACGTTCCTCCTGCTCCTGCACAACCCAACGGCAGGCGTAATTGAAACAGAGCCAGACTCGACTAATTTGACACTAAAGCCATTTCGATTTAAAATAGTCTCTCGAAAAATGCGCTTTCCTGTTAAGAAGCAGCACATATGTTTACGTACGGATAATGAGCCTTCCTGGCAAGCACAATCAAGTCTCCAGGCAGCATCCGTGGTCACCCACAGCTCGCACCTCCGAGGAAGGCTGGCTGTGAACTATTTGCCATTCCCTAAGGTAATTGCGCTGTGTTTGGATCTCGGGGCTGCTATGGCCCTTCTGCAGGGGACTATCCTTTGCCCTCCTATCTCAAAGGAGGGGGGTACAGATCATCTTAAGAATTTGAAGGTATCCTATCTTTTTTCACCCCTTATGGCATTTCCGACTAGGGCCTAATCTTGCACTATTTATAAAATCAGTGCTAGCTGAAAGACTGGATCACCGGGTATGACAAAAAATATATCTGGTAGCAGTTCCCCTCACCCGGGTTTTTCCCATGCACTTGCTGATTTGGCTCTACCCCATGCTCAAGCTGCTCGTGAGGTTTTCCAGGTGTGGAAGTTCAGTGAGAGGCTGCCTCGGCCCTTGCTGCTCCCTGATGGATGCGCAGGGCTGTGTCTGGTGTAGCGAGGCATCTTCGGACACAGCAGCTGCTTATCTGATGTACTCTTTTTTTTGCTTTTGAAACACTTTCCCTGCAGCTAGGTGAAGCCGGTGCAGTGTCCGTACACCCTGGGGCCTTGCTCAGGGTGAAGCCCTCTGACACCTTTCCTCACCCTCTTGGAGGGCTACCAAGACCCTCCCTTCCAGCTTGCTCTTCCACTAGGGAAGTCTTCAGGCTGCATTGAAGCTGTTCATGTTGCAAAGATGAAGCACAGGCAGAAGAGATTTTTATACTGGGTCATATTATCATAAAAGCCAACAAGGGAAAGGCATTAGCTTAGGAGCCAGCCCTAGCTTTGCAGAGCCAGTAATCCTCGGTTACCAAGCTATACCCGAACCTCATCTATCTGTGTTTAAAGAACAGCACGATAGGTTTGCAGTGTGGCAGACAAGAGTGCCCTGTGTTAGCTTCGCTGCTTTTTAAATATTAAAAAAAATATATACATCTACACACTCTTTTGGGTCAAAGATGGCTCCAGGAACATGGTCCGAGGAGTCCTCCGCTGAAAGTGTCTGCTCCCACTCCCAGCTGTTTTGCAGCAATACACTTTGGTGTTAAATGCAGGGTGCTTTTTAAAAACAAGCCTGCTCCGGAGCAATTACCCAGCCCTCTCCTGGAGGGAGCAACCTATCCATCTACTTACACTGCTCCCTACCCCCATTATATTTTTGGCATCTTTAAGACGCATCAAATTCTCGACAGGAGAACGACAGTCCTGAACGAGAGGCCTAGGAGCATCAGCCCGCGTCCTTAGAGGAGCAACACAGCAGCGTTGCAAATTGATGACCCGCGTGCCCAGTTGCTCAAGGAGCAGCACAGTTTGGGGGTGTTACTACCAAGCAATGTACTCTCCCCCTCTTCAGAAGTTTTCCTTTATTCACATTGAAGAAGTGGAAGCTCTGAAGCTACCCCAAGCTCAGGTGAAAGCAAAAGGCAGTACTAAAATATCATTAAAAATGATAGAAGGTGCCAGGTCAAGTTGGCTATTGCAGATAAAGCTACTATCATCTACTGCTAGTGACTGGGACTGAGCGCCAAGCGTTTTCATTACGCACCAAGTACGAAGTACTTTATAAATCACAATAACTCCTGACATGCAATAACATCCAATCTTATTAATATAAACTGCAGGGATTTTTTTTAAAGTCTGCCGGCAGTAAAACCACCCCTTCCATAAAATGTTGGCATTCGCACATGCCCTGCAGCTTCTCACAGCACCTTTAAGCACTAAAAAGGCTCATTACCTCATGCACCAGAAAACGAGAGCAGGATTATATCATTGCTCCAAAATACCTTCCCCACCTCTCCCTAAATATTAATAAAGTTGGAAAGCACCAGGCCTGCAGCTGGTGTCAGGTGCAGGAGCCCTTGAAGCCCATGGAGATACCTGACTTACGGCAGCTGGGACCTCATCCAGCAGCACATCCCACGGCTCTGCTGCTGTTGGCTCTCTCTTCTAGCACCCCAGCGCACTGTCAGGGTTTGAATACCCTGCTTTAAAGCAGTAGAGGAGGATCACTCTCAATGCTTTCTTCTCTTTTTCAATGTTGTTACAGCTGTTTTTTCCCCCTATTCCTCCACAGGAAGGCATGCATGGTGCCCCCACACGAGGGGGAGCCCTGAACTAGTTGCCAGGGGCTGACCCA